TTTTTTTTTTTTTTTTTTTTTTTCTTTTTTTGGTATCTTTCGATCGTCTCGTTAACGAGGTATCGCCTTACTATCGAGACGATCAAGGGAAAATCCAAGTAGCAAGAGCGCAAAAGCATCAAATTATCGTTCGAAATAATTTCAAAGATTTTACTTTGTAATTTATTGTTTCTAACACTCTTCCTCGATTCGATGCATCGATGATACAATAAAAGTGACGATAATCGAGGATGAACAGAAACGAAAGGATAATGCAGAAACACATTTTCGTAAAAGCGATCAACGACGATTGGGAGGCTGCTTTCTTACCGTTGTCACACATTCTTTCACCTTTCGTTTTCTCTTACTTTCCAGAACGCACGCTAAATTCTAAACACATTCGCTACATACTCGCGACCCAGCTGTTACACATACGTGCCTCTTCGATGAGCACGATCTTGCGTTCTATACACGTTGCACACAGTGCAAACTTTTGCGTTACGCGTCCGCCAAGTGTCGTGAAATGTTGATACAAAACTTCGCGCGCATGATCCGAGTCCTGACTTCGTTTCACTGACTACCGACTAAAAGACAGATAAAACTCGTGGCAAAAGAAGGAACAAGAATCGACGATCGTTCGTTCGTCGTTTCGTTTATTATCGTCGTTTTACTTCGCGAATAATACGCATAATCGTCGACGCACGAATACGAAAATTGCGAAAGGAGGAACTTGTATCCAGTGATTGGCAAATGATCGGAGTGAAATTCAATCACAACCAATCTTAACCGTTTGCGGACGGGACTGTGATGATGCGTGAGCACACCGTCTGGACGGTAGTGTTTAAACGGAAGAATGATACATCGCTTGAAAATTCGATTGTAACACTTATAAATTTTACACTACAAAAGCATGCGTATCGTTTCATCAGTGTCACTTGATTCACATCAATGTGAAAATCACTGCTGCTGACACCACAGAATGCGATATCCCTCTTGCTTTTTGCCTGACATTATTGCAACGGGATAACTTAGACATTATTGTTACAGCAAGTAAACAAACTATTGGAATATCAGGGATGTGTCGCTTTGAAAGACTGCGAATGTCATCGTGTACAAATGCACAGAACCAGGCAGAAGGAAAATCAGGCTCCTATTAAAATTTGACTATAAAGAAACTCTCTCTCGATAGAGAGAGTTGGGAACATACCGACTATGTCTGTAGACTAAAGACATACATTCAAAGTCTGAATAAAACACAGATCCGAGTCGTGAAATAGTAAAAATGATTGGCCTGCTGTCCTGAACGGTGAGAGTTCGTGCTGCTGTCGTCTACAGACACGCGTCCGCAAAGTGTTAATTCAGATCGATCACGTATACGTTTTGGCCACGATGACACTGACGAATGTGTCTATAAACGTGGCCACGCTGTTTCATTCGCGCGGCACAATATGGGCACTGAACTCTCGGCTCTTGTCCGCACTCGAACTTGGTGTGTCTTTTTAAATGCCAGGCGTGTATATAGCTTTTGGAGCATCTAGAGCACGTGTGCCTTTCAATGTCTCGAATAGCGTTGGCCCTACGCCTCCTCGAGCCGAGCGGCTTCTCCTCCTCGTAATCGAAATCCTTCGCTTCTTCCATCACCACCGAGCAAAGATTCTCCAGATCGGTTTCTATCTTGATCTTCTTGACGTCTATAAAAAGAAAAGTAAAAACGAAACGGAATTAGTCGCAATCTCAGGGACGTGTTCGCGTGGCCGGTCAAACAACGGAGGAAAACAAAAATGATAAAAGCGGTTATCATTACGAAGAGGATCAGGTTATCGAGAGTTATTTTTTTCCCGCCACCTTGTCCCCGAGAAGACCGCAAGCTGACCTTATCAGTGTCTTTTGTGGGGAGTGGAACACACAAGGGCGGAACTTCCGTGTTCGAACTTCTCGGCCCAGAGACGAGAACATCTCACAAACTAGTGAAGAGGTGAACAAAGTCATAAAAAAAAAAATAAAAATAAAAAAATAAAAACAAAATAAAAAAAAAAAACGGCCAAAGCAGGTAGAAAAAAGTGCCGTTTCGGCAAATTAGACGGGGGGGGGGAGAGGAGCGAGCCGTGGTCGTCGCAGCGTCGAACCGAAAAGAAAAACGCGCGGACCGTGTACGGATCAATTGCGATTACTCGAACAGATGCTTGTTCAAATTCAGAAGCATCGTAACAATGCTTTATTCGCATTTCACATGTACACGTTCGTGAAAAGTCGCACATGTTTGTTTCGATGTTTCTTTCGGTGATATACCGAGCAGACGAGGCGACGACGACGACGACGACGACGACGACGACGACGACGACGATGAGGAGGACGATGATACCTTTGTCAGACGATCGTTGTCGGTTGGTGGAATGCGATCCTAATTGTGAGAAGAAAACTTGGAAATATACGGGAGAATGAGAAACAGAAGAGAGTCGATAACGATAGACTCGACGAAAAAACCCGGATGTGCAAAAAGCTCGTCATCAAGGCGAGTCGATAATGTAAATGCGTTGACCCGAATGTTTTCTACGTATATGCTCGTTCACGTGTGCTCTTTGCTTGCTGCGAGTACCACAGTACGGACATTTGAATCGTGGCGCGACGCCGCACTCGTAACGAAGGTGACGCTTCAAACTTTTCACAACAGTGTAACCGTTCCCGCACTTTGGGCACGTGTAGTTCTTTTTCTTGCTGCCTCTGTGCCGAAGAGATCCATAGCCATCGTCCACCATGTGAAACTTGCTCGCTTCCTGATACGGACCAGCTCCGTAATTTCCGTACAATAGGCAAAACGAACGATCAACTGAAAGCAAAAAAGCGCAACAATTAGCATAACCGATTTTACGACGATCGTCGCAACCACCGCGAGAATATCAACCGGAATGTCTGCACGCATCATGATCCTTCCATTTCTCCTTTAGAAACCATCCACACTCTGTCACTCATTTCTCTTTCAAATATATTCTCCTCCTCACACACACACACACACACACACGTGCACGCACGCACGCACGCACACACATACACTCTCTCTCTCTCTTTCAAATTCTGTGGAAGAGAAAAAGTAAAACTATCAGTCGCACGTATAAGGACGTGGGAGGAAAATCGTGATCGAATAAAACATTTATTACTCTGCTTGCAAGTAGGTACAATATATGTTGCACGATGGCAGTCGTCATCTAATTAAAATTTGAGGTCGATCACGCAAACTCTTTCGTTGGGATGCTTCTTCCGTATGTGACAGTAGATCTGAGACGTCTGCTTGCTCTTCAGTTTGCAGTAAGGACATTGGAATCTAGGTTCGTGTCCACATTCGTATTTGTAATGTCGATTACGGTTACTTTTTAACGTGAAGCCGTGCAGACACTTGGGACAGTAATAGAGCGAGCGGTCGATGTTCCCAGGCGTTACCATGCTCATCAGCGAGTCCAGTATGCTCAGATCTGAAAAGAAAAAATAAAGTACGGTGAACGTCCGTCCAAAGTGTTTGATATGCAACTAATAGGACTCGTGCGCCAATCCCCGTTTGTCGGTCAAACAAATCAATCTGTCAACTGAACAACAAGGAATAAGAAGGGATGGATAATATCTTCAAAACACAAGATCCAAAAAAAAAAAAGAAAAAAAATAATAACGCAGAAAGGAAGCAAAATATGTACCAATCAGAACAATTTTCTTAATCTGCGTCGATGCAACGTGAGATAAAGACAGGAGAGAGAAACACAGAAGTAAAAATGCAATAAGAAATGAAACGAAGAGAGAGAAACATAGAAGTAAAAATGCAATAAGAAATTAAATCAAGGAAAGAAAAAAAAAAAAAAAAAAAAAAAAAAGAAACGAAACGAATACCAAACACCAAATGGTACGTTTATGATAAAAGTGATGTCACAGAGTGCCGTCTCTTTTATCATAATCAAGCGGAGATAGAATTGATGGAGTGTTTGAACATCGATTTTATTTGTATCTTACAATTCCACAGCGATGACGACACATGATCACAAAAAACATCATGGAAAGTGAGGAGCAGTAAGTAATTGTTCAGACATCGAATGTAATTCGCGAACATTTATTTTGTAGTCAATGTAGTCCCGAAGGAAACGATCGGTCGTACGCGGCTGACCAAACGGAGAAAGAACAACTTCTTCGTACGTTATCGGGCGCACACAGTTATTAATAAACGCACTTAACGCTACAACATCATTAATTATATCACAGCAACAAAAACAGTCGGCCACTAACGTCTAGGTGCAGGTAGAAGAAAATGGAAATCGAAGAAAATGTCGAAGCACGGCGGTAACTTCTGCCGGAGGCATGGCTGTTTTACCAAATTCATTGAGTGAGTTCACGCCGGCTGTTCTCTCAGCTCATACGACTTTTGAAAGCTTGAAATGCTCAGTTTTTATTATCTTCCATCGCAATTTTCATTCGTTTTCGATAGACGACAAACAAAAAGCGAAAGAACACATTTTCCCTCGACCCTGTACCATTCAGTCTTGAAATAGAGAACGTGCCGATCAATCAAACGGTGCACGTTTCTCGCTCTGTTTACTTCCGCGATAACATCCAACAATACGCCGGACACAGAATTATCCGAAACAACTTTTAAATAGTATTTCATGAACACGCATTTACTACCCTTTTTCTCCTTTTCTTTCTCCTGATCCTATAGCTCGCTTAATTTCGTCGACAATGAAAATCCGTTGAAGACGGTTTCTTTCGCTACTATGAACGTTAAGGATGTCG